TCTGGATCCACAACATTGAAAGTTTCTGGACACACAACATTGCAAGTAGATAAAAGCGTTGTAATAAAAAGGGGTTTTTGAGTCAGCAAAATTAATATTTTGGCTGTAGCGTAAAAGAACTTAAATAAGTCAATATTAAGCAAAAAAAATACTGCTTCAAAGCCCAACTTACCCTTATTCATACAAATCGCAAATCACACTTGAAACTAATAATAAATAAATATATCTATTAGGCAGTGTCACAAGATTGGAAATTTGTCAAACATTGTATTTTATCAATCGTGTGACTAAAAAAATTTTTTTTTTTTTGTACCAATAGCCTAATACAAAAAATGTACAATACAAAAATTTTCATTGCGTTAAAAAAGCCGAAAGGCAAAACTGAATGGATATTTGATAAGACAGCATTTGCCGGCACAACTTTTCTCTCTGAAAATGCACATCTCTCTCCCAAGTGGAAGTTTTTACAAACATATACGAATATTATCTAATGTGTCCTTTGGCGCATACCACAACTCGTAGGAAAAGCGGGAATCTATTGGTAATGGCTATTGTACAATAAGGTTGTTCAATATAAAAACCGGATACAATTGTTGACAGTGCGGTTTTTGTAGAGAGGACTTCAAAGGTTAAATATTACCACATAAAATAAAGAAGATCGGGAGATTATGAGACGGGTTTTGTTTTTGTTCCAAAAAATAATTTTGTCTTTATTTTAAACAAATCGGGCGAAAGCTACAAATACAAACAAACAAGTGAGTTTTGCTTGTTAACTTAAAATGGCTCTTTTTTGCCAATGAGAAATCACTTGATATAAGGACAAATTGTAAACTTTGTGCAAAATCGCTTATTAAAAGGTGGAAATATTAAGTTTTAAATTGTATAAAGGGTTCAGTGCCTGAGTGCCGTTTTCTCATGTAGGTTTTAAAATTTACCTGCCCTTTAAACATATTTTTTTTGGAACAAAATTTGTGGTTAATGTACAGATACATTTTAAAACCTACTTGAGAAACGGTGCAATTTGTGGATTAATCAGATTCACAGTTGAATATATTTGTATTTAGTTGGTGTTTAGATAGCGCTTTTTCGCACCAGCGCCGATATAGGGCGATCTACCACTCAACCGGCGATATAAACTTGTACACGCCAAACACAGGTAGATCGATGCTTCAATTTGAAGTTTTTTTGGCTAATTTTTTTTTTTTTTGAGCTGAACACATTTCGAACCGTTGCCGGCCGCTTTTACGGCGAATGCGCTTTATGTATTTCAATTTAAATATCCCCGCCCTTTTTGTACCCTTTATAAATCTGTAGCATTTTCTGGCTGACTGTGACTGAGTGATTAGAGGTGCGTACTAACACTCTGTAAGACCTGAGTTCGAACCCTGGTACGCGTAACATCTTACTTGGATTTGACTTGTTAGCCGCCTTTTTCTTCACATCTGTTTTCTTTAACCTTTTGCTTGGCTGAGTCTAACTTTCAATTGTTGATGTGCATCCGACGTAGACTCAAACGAAAAGGAGGAATGAGCATTTTAACGCATTCCCAAAGTGGCAAACTGCTTTTTTGTGAAAAGATTTTTAATGGGCAAAATGGAATTCGCAGGTTGGCCATTGCTAGTCGGGGCGACCGTTGTAGAAGAAAACGTTGATATTGGTGAGAGATGGAATCGAACCTGGATGCTTTTGTCAAAAAGAAAACATAAGAAATGGAATTTATTTTGTTTTTGGACTCGTATTATCACCTAATAGTTTCTGTCCCTGCTCGTCCGAAATACAAAAGACTTAAGACACGAACTCGGCTGTTCGTTTGTTGCGAAAAATGTTTTTGAGCATTTTTTCAATATTCAAACTTATTTTAATGACACGTATATATGTACGAATGAGCGGAAAAATTGTATTTACTAAGTATTATCGACTACGTACAAAAGTGAATATTTATGTATTTATACTGTGGTAAATACCTTCGTATTATTAACTTAAGTATTTTGGATGTTGCTAAGTACCGCGTATGTATTTAGTGATTCTGTCTTTACTAAATACTGGATACAAAGGTACTTAGTATTTATGGCTTCACTAAATACTGGATACAAAACCACTTAGTACTTATGACATTTACTCTGGCAGAATTAGAGAATTTCGGGATTTTTGAAGCTAATTCAGATAATTCAAGATTTTCGAGAATATTTCGCGGTTTTCTAGATGGTATGTTTAGGATTTTTGATACTACATATATATGTATATCCAGATTTACAAACTACTTGGGGCTACTTCGGCAATTTTGGGACCATTTCAGGCTTTTCGGTATTGTGGGTCTATTTCGGAATTTTCGAGATTACTTCGGGCGGTTTTCGGGGCTATACAGTGATAAATATGTCGATGAATATGTTGATATAAATATCGATAAATCTATCTATAGGAATATCAAAAATTAATCCATAAAAATAGCGAAAGATATTTCGATATATATATATCGATAAATCTAAGCATAAACGATAAATATGTCAATAATGTCGGAATGTCGGTAACATTCCGATAATAAGTTAATTTTTTTAAATTCCTCCTAAATCATAATGTATTTAGTTTGAGAGT